TATATATAAATCCGAGTAGAAACTTAATTTAAATTATTATTGTGGGACCAAGGAAGCATTAAGCAAAAATTATAAAGGCTTAATTGTGATTTTGATGTCTTAAGTATTGCAATCGGGTAATTTTGATCCCAAGGTTTTAATTAAGTAATTTTAGTCCTTAAAATATTGTAATAGTATGATTTTAGTCCCTTGATTTTTAATTAAACAATTTTAGTCCTTCAAATATATATCATAATTATACGACTTTAATCTTTTTCACTAAAAATTTAATAATTTTAAATTTTTAATATAAATATATATATATATATATAATATTATAAAATTATACAACTGTTTGCTTATTTAAGTTAATGTATATTACAGTTTTTGTTAATGTTCAAATGATATATATTTATTATTACTAAATAAATAAAATTTATATATTATTAATATTTTAATATTATTGATAAATTAATATCAATAATATTTTTAGTATATTTATAGATAAATTAATAATTTAACAAATATAACTTAGTATTTAATATACTTTTACAAAAATATAAATATATTAGATAAGATGTGTATATTTTTGTAAAAGTATATTAATATATAATAAGTTATATTTATGAAGTTATTAGTTTATCTATAAATATACTAATAATATTATTGATACTAATTTATTAGTAATATTATAAAAATAATAATATATAAATTTTATTTATTTAATAAATATATATTATTTGATATATTAAGAAAAATTATAATATACGTTAACTAGAATAGATAAATAATTGTACAATTTTAAAATATTGTATATATATATATATATTAAAATTATTAAATTTTTAGTGGGGGAGACTAAAATCGCATAATTGCAATATTTGAGAGACTAAAATTGTTCAATAAAGAATTGAAAGACCAAAATCGCACAATTACAATCCTTTAAGGATTAAAATTACTCAATTAAAACTTTAGGAATCAAAATTGCATAATTTTAATACTTGAGCGATCAAAAACGCAAATAAATTAATTATAAATTTTAGTGGATGATACCATTAAATCAAGAAAGAGATTTATTAAATGAGATGTTAAACTCACAAAATTTGTAATTTCACATTAATTTTAGTCAATCATATAGATAGTATTGAACATAAAATGTTAGAGTGAGCACACTAAATTTCCTCAAATATTAATAAGCATTTTGTCGCTCAAGATGAGCAAAACTTAAAAGTAAATTTTGACAAAGGCTACACACACATATAGGGAACGGATTTACTTAAAAGTATTGTCAGAAACCTTTTATATTTCCCTCCAATCTCTTTGATCTTTCACTCTATTCTCTTTGATCTTTCTCTCCATTCATTTTTTTACTCTCTCGCGCTCTCATCTAAAGTCTCTAGCTTCTCATTTTCTTTGCAACACCAGATCCAATACAATATCTAGCAGGTAACATTCTCATTCTCTTCTAATGTCTCTAGTTTCGTTGTTGCTTTATTAAGGTAAATCTCAAATTTGGAACCAAATAAAACAGCCCGTTCTGCAACCAGAACGACCCATTCTACAACCAGAACGACCCGTTCTGCCAACAAAACGGCCCGTTCTAAAATCAAAATGGCCCGTTCTGGATTGGTTTTAACTCATGGCAAACTATGTTGGAACGACTCGTTCTAAATTTTAGTTTTAGGCCATTTTAACAACCTGGAACGTCTCATTCCAGTTTAGGAACGAATTGTTCCAATTTGATTTTTAAAAAACCACGACTTTTAAGATCGGTTATAAAATAATCGATCTTAAAAGTTATCTTTTAAGATCGGTTAATAACCGATTTTAAAAGTCTAACTTTTAAAATCGACTTTTATAATCGGTTAGGGAACCGATTTTAAAAGTTAAAAATAACCATTTTAAAAGCCTTTTTTCCACTAGTGCACTTTGATATTCTAATGTTTGAATTGCTGCAGAACCCAAATTATCGATACATGAATCTGATCGCAAAGTGCGTGTAGGTGTTACTTGTGAAATCCAGGGATGGAAAATATGTGTGCTTACATATGAGTAGCTAGCCCAACTATAATAGAGAGAAATATGATGAGTGAGAACTCTGTGGATGTTATTGATGGATATACAAATACAATACTAGATTCCTTAAGGTTATTGCTCTTTTTGCTTTGTTGTATTTTATTTTTCTCTTTTTTTTAAATATATTTTTTACATTTTATACTCTTTTTATCTTCATTATAAGTCATAAGTTAGAGGAAAAATAATAATGGTCATTTTATTATGTATTTTGCAATTTCTATAAGGATTGTGAGTATATGTATCTTTAGTTGTTCAATAACAATGAGAAAAGTTGAAAAATAGATGTTTACTTTCACCTCTTGAACTTTTCAATTATTGGTTATGAATTTTATTGACAATAATTCGTAAACTTTGATATACTTTATAGGATAATAATATCTTCATCTCTACCATGATAATTTAATGATAATATAGAAAAATCAAATTAATATGCCGTATTTTTTATTTTTTTATAAAATTAATTAAAATAATTACAGTGTTTTATATCACTAAAGAGTATATTATTTTTAACATCCCCACGATCTCAAAAATAATTAACTAGTCTTGAATGGTTGCTTTATAGATGAAGGCATTCGTACTAAATATGGCCGCCAATATGTAGGCCTCAAAATTTTAGTGGATGATTCCCTTAAATCAAGAAAGTGATTTATTAAATGAGATGTTAAACTCACAAAATTTGTAATTTCAAATTAATTTTAGTCAATCATATAGATAGTATTGAACATAAAGTGTTAGAGTGAGCGCACTAAATTTCCTCAACTATTAATAAGCATTTTGTCGCTCAAGATGAGCAAAACTTAAAAGTAAATTTTGACAAAGGCCACACACACATGTAAGGAGCGGATTTACTTAAAAGTATTGTCAGAAACCTTTTATATCTCCCTCCAATCTCTTTGATCTTTCACTCTATTCTCTTTGATTTTTCCTTCCATTCCTTTTTTTACTTTCTCGCGCTCTCATGTAAAGTCTCTAGCTTATCATTTTCTTTGCAGGACCAAATCCAATACTAAATATAGCAGGTAACATTCTCATTCTCTTCTCATGTCTCTAGTTTCGTTGTTGCTTTATTCAGGTAAATTTCAAATTTGGAAGAACCAAATAAAATCGCCCGTTCTGCAACCAGAACGACCCATTCTACAACCAGAACGACCCGATCTGCCACCAAAATGGCCCGTTCTAAAATCAAAATGGCCCGTTCTGGATTGATTTTAACTCATGGAAAACTATGTGGAACGACCCGTTCTAAACTTCAATTGTAGGCAATTTTAACAACCTGGAACGTCCCGTTCCAGTTTAGGAACGACTCGTTCCAATTTAATTTTTAAAAAAACACGACTTTTAAGATCAGTTATAAAATAATCGATCTTAAAAGTTAACTTTTAAGATCGATTAATAACGGATTTTAAAAATCTAACTATTAAAATCGACTCTTTTATAATCGGTTAGGGAACCAATTTTAAAAGTTAAAAATAACTATTTTAAAAGCCTTTTTTCCACTAGTGCACTTTGATATTCTGATGTTTGAATTGCTAAAGAACCCAAATTATGGATACATGAATGTGATCGCAAAGTGCGTGTAGGTGTTACTTGTGAAATCCAGGGATGGAAAAATATGTGTGCTTACATATGAGTAGCTAGCCCCACTATAATAGAGAGAAATATGATGATTGATGAGTATGTGGATGTTATTGATGGTTAAACAAATACAATACTAGATTCCTTAAGGTTATTGCTCTTTTTGCTTTGTTGTATTTTATTTTTTGCTTTTTTTTAAATATATTTTTTACATTTTATACTCTTTTTATCTTCATTATAAGTCATAAGTTAGAGGAAAAATAATAATGGTCATTTTATTATGTATTTTGCAATTTCTATAAGGATTGTGAGTATATGTATCTTTAGTTGCTCAATAACAATGAGAAAAGTTGAAAAATAGATGTTTACTTTCACCTCTTGAACTTTTCAATTATTGGTTATGAATTTTATTGACAATGCTTCGTAAACTTTGATATACATTGTAGGATAATAATATCTTCATCTCTACCATGATAATTTAATGATAATATAGAAAAACCAAATTAATATGCCATATTTTTCTTTTTTTTTGTAAAATTAATTAAAATAATTACAGTGTTTTATATCACTAAAGAGTATATTATTTTTAACATCCCCATGATCTAAAAAATAATTAACTAGTCTTGAATGGTTGTTTTACAAATGAAGGCATTCGTACTAAATATGGTCGCCAATATGTAGGCCTCAAAATTTTAGTGGATGATACCCTTAAATCAAGAAAGTGATTTATTAAATGAGATGTTAAACTCACAAAATTTGTAATTTCAAATTAATTTTAGTCAATCATATAGATAGTATTAAACATAAAGTGTTAGAGTGAGCGCATTAAATTTCCTCAACTATTAATAAGCATTTTGTCGTTCAAGATGGGCAAAACTTAAAAGTAAATTTTGACAAAGGCCACACACACATGTAGGGAGCGGATTTACTTAAAAGTATCGTCAGAAACCTTTTATATTTCCCTCCAATCTCTTTGATATTTTACTCTATTCTCTTTGATTTTTCCCTCCATTCCTTTTGTTACTTTCTCGCGCTCTCATCTAAAGTCTCTAGCTTCTCATTTTCTTTACAGGACCAAATCCAAAGCTACGTATAGCAGGTAACATTCTCATTCTCTTCTCATGTCTCTAGTTTCGTTGTTGCTTTATTCAGGTAAATTTCAAATTTGGAAGAACCAAATAAAACAGCTCATTCTGCAACCAGAACGACCCATTCTACAACCAGAACGACCCGTTCTGCCAACAAAACGGCTCGTTCTAAAATCAAAATGGCCCGTTCTGGATTGGTTTTAACTCATGCCAAACTATGTTGGAACGACCATTTCTAAACTTCAGTTCTAGGCAATTTTAACAACGTGGAACGTCCCGTTCCAGTTTAGGAACGACTCATTCCAATTTAATTTTTAAAAAACCACGAATTTTAAGATCGGTTATAAAATAATCGATCTTAAAAGTTAACTTTTAAGATCGGTTAATAACCGATTTTAAAAATCTAACTTTTAAAATCGACTTTTTATAATCGGTTAGGGAACCAATTTTAAAAGTTAAAAATAACCATTTTAAAATCCTTTTTTCCACTAGTGCACTTTGATATTCTAATGTTTGAATTGCTGAAGAACCCAAATTATGGATTCATGAATGTGATCGCAAAGTGCGTGTAGGTGTTACTTGTGAAATCCAGGGATGGAAAAATATGTGTGCTTACATATGAGTAGCTAGCCCCACTATAATAGAGAGAAATATGATGATTGATGAGTATGTGGATGTTATTGATGGTTAAACAAATACAATACTAGATTCCTTAAGGTTATTGCTCTTTTTGCTTTGTTGTATTTTATTTTTCTCTTTTTTTTAAATATATTTTTTACATTTTATACTCTTTTTATCTTCATTATAAGTCATAAGTTAGAGGAAAAATAATAATGGTCATTTTATTATGTATTTTGCAATTTCTATAAGGATTGTGAGTATATGTATCTTTAGTTGTTCAATAACAATGAGAAAAGTTGAAAAATAGATGTTTACTTTCACCTGTTGAACTTTTCAATTATTGGTTATGAATTTTATTGACAATGATTCGTAAACTTTGATATAATAATAATATCTTCATCTCTACCATGATAATTAATGATAATATAGAAAAACCAAATTAATATGCCGTATTTTTATTTTTTTATAAAATTAATTAAAATAATTACAGTGTTTTATATCACTAAAGAGTATATTATTTTTAACATCCCCACGATCTCAAAAATAATTAACTAGTCTTGAATGGTTGCTTTATAGATGAAGGCATTCATACTAAATATGGCCGCCAATATGTAGGCTCAAAATTTTAGTGGATGATACCCTTAAATCAAGAAAGTGATTTATTAAATGAGATGTTAAACTCACAAAATTTGTAATTTCAAATTAATTTTAGTCAATCATATAGATAGTATTGAACACAAAGTGTTAGAGTGAGCGCAATAAATTTCCTCAACTATTAAGAAGCATTTTGTCGCTCAAGATGAGCAAAACTTAAAAGTAAATTTTGATAATGGCTACACACACATGTAGGGAGCGAATCTACTTAAAAGTATCGTCAGAAAACTTTTATATTTCCCTCCAATCTCTTTGATCTTTCACTCTATTCTCTTTGATCTTTCCCTCGATTCCTTTTTTTACTCTCTCGCGCTCTCATCTAAAGTCTCTAGCTTCACATTTTCTTTGCAGAACGAGAATATCCAATACAATATTCAACAGGTAACATTCTCATTCTCTTCTCATGTCTCTAGTTTCGTTGTTGCTTTATTATGGTAAATTTTGAATTTGGAACCAACTAGAACGACCCATTTTGCAACTAGAACAACCCGTTCTATAACTAGAGCAACCCGTTTTGCAACCAGAATGACCCATTCTACCACCAAAACGACCCGTTCTACCAACAAAATGGTCTGTAATGAAATAAAAAAAGCCCATTCTGGATTGGTTTTCACTCGTGGAAAACTATGTTGGAACGACCATTTCTAAACTTCAATTTTAGGCCATTTTAACAACTTGAAACGTCCCGTTCCAGTTTCAGAACGACCCGTTCCAATTTAATTTTTAAAACGCCATGACTTTTAAGATCATTTATAAAACAACTGATCTTAAAAGTTAACTTTTAAGATCGGTTAATAACCGATTTTAAAAGTCTAACTTTTAAAATTGACTCTTTTAAAATCGGTTAGGGAACTGATTTTAAAAATAAAAATAACCGATTTTAAAAGCCTTTTTTCACTAGTGCACTTTGATATTCTGATGTTTGAATTGCTGAAGAACCCAAATTATGGATACATGAATGAGATCGCAAAGTGCGTGTAGGTGTTACTTGTGAAATCCAGGGATGGAAAAATATTTGTGCTTACATATGAGTAGCTAGCCCCACTATAATAGAGAGAAATATGATGATTGATGAGTATGTGGATGTTATTGACGGTTAAATAATTACAATACTAGATTCCTTAAGGTTATTGCTCTTTTTGCTTTGTTGTATTTTATTTTTCTCTTTTTAAAAAAAAATATTTTTTACATTTTAAACTCTTTTTATCTTCATTATAAGTCATAAGTAAGAGGAAAAATAATAATGGTC